ACGATTTAATTCAATTTTCTAATCACTTAAAAAGCACCTGTCAAGTTAAAAACGTTACGACGAATAATATAATATAGAAACACGTGTCTACTAGATGCTTGATTGTATTTCGTAGTGGTTCAGCGAATGCAACTGGAGGTATCTAAAAGCATACGACGCGTTCTGGTATGATCCTTTGGCATGTTCCTGTAGATCACGAAGATTAATTGTAAACTTTGTATAAGATAATGGATCTGGAAGGGTCCACGACGGGGACACAAAATGGAATTGGGACAAAAGTTTCTTCTCTTCAACATTTAATCTGGGAGGGGTAAAAGACAGGTCATCGATTGCCGCGTTTCCTAGTCCTAACGGCACAGCCGCCAAATATCCTTACTGTATCTGTTTCGAGATGTGTGCTCTTCCCATAATTCACCTTCATGTTTCACGTGCTGTTCTTATTATTTTTATTAACTTGGCGCTATTGTTGGTGGGTATACATAACCATTGTTTAATTTTGCTTACAACGTGCGACTTAATCTCGGAACCTTGTGGTTATTACAGTTATTATGTCGACATTTGTCTGTAGTTAAGATATTGTGAATTGGGGAGATTCAGTAGCAGTTGTTTCTTAAATTTATAACTGAAATTGTTATTCAGATTTTGAACTATGTGTACCAGTGTGGTCAAAAAAAACATGGCAGGCACTTCCAGTTCGACAAAGTTTTGTTATTGAATGCATTAATTAGTGAGTTATTTAATTATACGAATAAATTAATATTTATATTAAATTTTAACATTCGTGTTACTTTTAATTAATACATAGATAGTATACAGCCTAACGATTGACTATGCATGCGAAAATTATAATTTTACAGTTGTGATTTATAAATATGAACAATTTTAATCAAAGAGTAAACTACACTATATTCTTTCATTTTTATCCTCCCGAAAAGTACATTCAAATTAACTCATACCCCACAAAGTTGTTATTTTTTTATTTGTTCTAAGCCTGTATACACGATTGAGGCTCTCTGTTCTTCAGATCCTCTAGGTTAGAGCCATTATAATACCTTAAATTAGACCCTGAACGCTTTTTAATTAATTGTTCATCCGTCGCCCTATCATATGACTCAGAAATCTTGTTTCAGACTGACTAGATCAGGAGGCTAAACTGATTAGACTTTTGTCCTCCTTTCACCTGAAGACGAAAGTGGAACTAACTTCTGAAACGTAACAGATTAACACAACAGGATAAATATGCCATTTTTGTAGGAAATTTTTTTAAAAAAACATGATTTATTGTCTGTCTTGTATGGCTGTTTATACCGGTAATTCTTAAAATTTTCCTTAGATTGCTTTTGTTTACCGAATTATCAACGACCGTTTATAATTCAACCTGAAATACGTATCGTTGCTAGAAAATGTCAACCTGATTGTCGAAGGACAGAAACCTATGCGCGCGGCATCCATTACAGAAATTGATTGTGCGATAGAAGTTTCGCTGTACGTACTATTGTACTGGCATATTCAAGCATACTCGGTTAGTCGACGCCCCAAAACGAATACTTAGCGATTTCGGGAAAACGTAAGACCAGTGTGTTTATCTTTCGACGCGTTACGTCCCATTCTTCGATTTTCTGTCTCGTTCTGAAACCAGCGACCGATGGAACGAGTTAGAAAGGGACAGGAAATGAAAGAGACAGAGACGAAGAGAGGGAAAATAGCAAAGGAAGATAAACACATCGGCACACACTGGGAAATGGACCAGCTGTTTTATAAATACAGTCGTAACCGCATTGAAACAATATCCTCTGCTCTGACGTTTTCCTCGCTGGATGTTGCACCGACGTGTAATGCAATGACGATGTGACCCAAAACTTGCATGTACAAAATTGAAGGATTTTTACAAGTGTTGCCAACCTTAGCTGTCTGCAGGGCAGTGGAGACTGCGGGTACCATGACCACAAAGCGCACTTATGGTTTTATTCAGTCGCCAGGACAAATAACCAGTTTTCATAATGATCACGTCATCAACATTACGTAAGCAATTGCTGTGAGAGTTGCAATGTGTTTTCATGAAAGTAGGAACCTAATTCTTAAATATTATTCCAAAAACCTCTGCATATTAGCTCAAATCCTAGGATCCAACTTCTCGCTTAAGTGATAGCAATTTGCTTCGTGTTTAGAAGTACGCGGTTTGATTCTCGGTTCGCAGACCTGCTGTGCTGACGTTTTCCTAAAATATTCAGCCATTTATAGCATATGTAATCGTAAATCTTAAAACAATTTGCACACATTACACGTTTCTCTCGATTTACAAAACTTCAGATTTTTTATTATTATACGTAAAGTAATGAAGGTTATAATAAATATAATTTTGTATTCTTTGTTTACGTAAACTATTATTTGTTTTTCAATTTACGAACTTTATTTTCGTTATAGCAAAGAACCAATTAATTTCTTACCAATGATTCTTTGTGATTATTATAGGCCAACTACAGTAATTAAGGTCTTCATAAAGACAACTTCGTTCACGTAAGTTCTGATGTTTATACCTAACTGCAGTAGGTACTGTACAATGTAAAGGTTTAATTTAATACCTCAGTAGTGCTTTACAGGGTTAAATAGGTAATAACTATAATCAGAGACTTACTACTATTCTTATGTTTATGACAGCTTAGTATTCTGTGTGATTTCTCTTGGAGTCGGGAACCAGTAGAAATTTTTATATTGAAATTTATGGAAATTTCATTGTCGATTTACGAATGTTCACCCTACGAACAGTTTTCATCCAAGGAATTGCGTTCCAAATCGAGCGATGGGTTCTACATTCATCCTGTACCAGACGCTTTACGTATTCGTTATGGTTTTGTTTTATAGTGTGCTAGTTGTCTTACCGAAACTGTAATATGGAATGAGCGATGTTAAATGCCATGTATGCTTTATTATTGTGATCACCAGTTACTCACTTAAAAATACGTGATATTTAAATGCTATCTCGGATTCTATAAGATAAATTGATTGCTACAGAAATGCAAAAACCTTTATAATAGTTCTTTAAATGTTACCAAATCAACTAGTGAAAATGACAGAAACTCGATACAGTCTGACCCCGACAAATACATAGAAACTTCATTCCAGCTGCTTTTCAGGAATTATTCCAGTAATAGCACACGTTAAGTATAAAGTAATGTAGCGTTAGGGGAACATGCAGGCAGCCTCGGGCGTAATGAGTAATGTCATCAGGAATGACCGCCTCCTGATTGGCGGCCATCGTACTTCCATTGTTTTTAAAATGGGCGAAAAGAACGGCGGTAAACATGACTGTCTTCTAGAATGTTGAGCCGTGTAGTCTGGGAGAAGTTTACCGACGTTTCAGAGGTGTTTGTTATCTTCATTATCATCGTGATGATAGAGGCAGTAAACTTCTCCGGAACGCCATCAACTTTTCCAGACTACACGGCTCAACATTCTAGAACAGTGGTATTCAACCTTTTTTGTTTGCGTAATACCCCCAGATATAATTTCTCTTCAACTTTGTACCCCCAAAGTTGTTGGTGTATAATTCAAGTTATACATAGTATATAATCTACATCTAAAATAAATTTAAAAAATTACATTACTTATTATTAAGTGTTTATCATAAAATAATATATATATTTTTTTAAATTTCACGTACCCCCTAAGATGTCTTCGCGTACCCCAGGTTGAATACCACTGTTCTAGAAGACAGCCGTACTCTTTTACGTAGCTTCTTCCTTTCTTTACAAAATATTTGTAGGCCTACATTTGGTCCTGAAACATGGCGTAGTATTGAATGCGAAAGCAGGAAAAGTGAGGCCTGTTGAATATTAAAATTCCAGTCCAGTAGCAAAGGTCATGATGATTGATGCATTACCTGTGCTACAGCGAAGAAGGTCTAAAATGCTCCGCTTACGTGTGTCATGCAATATTCGAAAGCTTCTGATGATGGTGACACTGGGGGTGGAATGAGGCAAGGGAAGGTAACAGTCGTGCACGGGAGAAACGAAGGTATTAATATGAACTGCAAACAGAATTCCATCCATCCAGCCATCAATGCGCAAGCAGGCATGTGGATCTGTGAAGGGTCGGTATTCAATGATGATGCCTGTCCGCACCGGTAAGCTCTGATTCCGTGCTCATGGACCCCCACGGAACGGTAATTTGTCAGCACACAGATTGACAGATTGTTCAGCCACGCCTTATCAATTTCGAGAAGAAAATGTTGATAATATAGCAACTATATTCCGCCTTCGCAATAATTTTAATAGTAATTGTTGGGTGGACGGCGGCGTGTTTGAACATTAATATTTTATCATCAGACTGGTTTTCGTGTGCAGTGCGAACGCTATTAACAAGAAAAGAATCATGCTTGCCATATTGTAAAGTAGCTTCCTTAAAGTGGGCCCATGATGGAATTACACGCAAAATAGAACATAATGGTGAAACATGCGAAAATAAATCGTATATTACATATAATTACCATACGCAATGAAACAATTCAGTTTACCTCCCTGGGAAATCTAGAATTAATATCGCGGTGTAGCGGCTAGTAAAGTCCCGGGTTCAAATTTTTAGCTATCTTGACTGAGATTCCTTTATGGTTTTACTCAGTCCTTCCTGATAGACTGTGGGACAGTACGTTTGAAGTATGTAATGACTGATTCTTTCAGCATCCTTTCCAAATCATTTCGCTTTAAGAGATTTGAGGTCCTTTCGGAGGTGAAGATGTCGATTTTTTCTTCTCGGAATTGACACCGTGTGAGTAGATACTTCAGCCCTGTAGACGGAAGCAGTATGTTCCTCCGAAACGTTTATATCTACCTGCAGGTTCATACGACGCCTCAGCATCGACATCATTCCGCTTGACGCTGTCTAACATGTGTTGCAAAATCTCAATCAAGTCAAACAAGAAACACAAAAATGTAGTTGTTTTAATGGACCTGCGTTCACTTCTCTCCAGTGACTTTGAACAGTACTCAGTGTTCTGATTGCAGCTATTACGAAAACGGACTTGCTGGCTCGGCCGAGACGTGTTCTGGCGAATATCTTCCGACCCCTAAGCGCCACCACCCACACAGCAGCAGTAGCCACCTCCTGTTACAGCATGGTGGAGGTCTCCTGTTCTCCCCTGGAGCCGGTGCTGGAGGATCGGCGGCGTCCTCTCACCCCCACGTACCTCCACCTCCACATCTGCATCCTTCTACCGATTATCCGCAACAGTACGGGTATGTCCCGTATCCAGGCGCTGCCCACTGCAACCCTCGAGAATCCAACGCTGACCTCCTCGCGGACAGGAGGCACGGCGACGAAGAGTGGAAGAATATACACGTGGTGAGTTGCCGCATGGCGCGTGAGACAAATCTAAGGCAGCATGTGCGGATTCCGGTGACTGAGCAGTTCAAAGTCCACAAGATCTCTGGCCGTTCAAACACTGGGATCAGCAGTTTGAATCTGGCTTGAGCCATTGTTGTTTATTCGAGATTTTCTGTCAAGGACTCCTCTGAGGGAGCTGCGTGTCGCTCGGTTGATTACCGACGTCAGTGTCACAGGCACTCATTTCCGTGAAACTCGTGTGAACAGCATTTCGTCAGGGACGTTCCCATTTTGATATCATGAACTTGTCATCAACGATGATGGAGGCAGCAAGGACCTCTCAAACATTGGTAAACATCTACGAGACTACAAAGCGCAACAACCTAGAAGACCGCCATCTTCGTAGTCACCGCCGTACTCAAATCCTACATGGAGTCCGGATTTCAGACTGACATGTTTGGCTATGATCCGATAGGTACATTGATTATTTTAGCAGACTTTTACATTTTAATGGATAGTTTAGCTAATATGATAAATTGAAGACGAGGTAATTCGACTCGAATCATCACTTGACTGTTCTACAGTTTTCAGGAAGACACTGAGAAATCCTGCACAGTGCCAGCACCCAAAAGTAGGATCCACATCAATAAATAAAACTCATTTGCGTTCCACTGATTATGACAATCGGCAAAAATGCTTATTTTGCAGATGCTGAATTGTATCTTAAGTATGGTGGAGAAAACAAAGCGCGCACTAGCCATCTTGCAACATCGTGGTGCTGGTTCAGTAGAAAACGGCGCTGCTGGCAGTGGCAATTCAGCGAATGATTGGTTACGAAGGTCGGCGCCGACAGATGCCAGTGAAGCCAGAGACATCAAGCGGACAGCAGGGGAAATCATGGCACAAACTATCAGGGTTACAGAAGACAGAGTCGCAGAAGTTAAGAGAAGAGCGGGTAATAATGAACAGATGACATATTATTTCTCCATACCCCGCTCTCCTCGTCCCTCATCGTTGTTGTTGAACCTGGTCTTTCTCTCACTTTTTTTTTCTCTCCATGCTTTTGTCAGCCATTCCTCCCCTCTTCATTAATAATAATATTGTTAATACCACTTTTTTATCTGATCCCTGCTAATACTCGTTTTTGTGACATTTTCATTTATTGTTGTTGTTTTAGTATTAAACATAAGCTTAGATTTTGCACTAAATTAAGCGTACTAATATAAAACCAAAACGTGACAGTGAAACTTGGGCAATAGAAAATACGACAGACCCTTAAATTACTCGAGGTGAATGGATAAAATTAGAAAGGACGATATCGGAGCAGAGCGAGAAGAAATCGTCAGTCATATGTCATAAGTTATTTAATTATTTGATAATTATATGCAACTGATGAGGCTGTGTAGCATTGGGTCACGATAGGGGTAAGTGTGAACGACAACTCCAGAGGACTTCGGTAAGCCTATCGTATGATATTGGATGTCATACTGACGTTTGCCTGGACTGACTATGGTGAAATCATTGAAGACCTGACAGAGTAATTGGTCCCACGCAAGAACTGTAAAGTACCTCCAAAATGTAAGTTAGATGCATTACAGCTGTATTAAGCCACTCGGTCATTATTTGTAATAAAATACGGTGTTTATTTATTGATTTTTAAACAATCTCCTCCTCCATATCATATCCTTTCATATTCAGTTGCTGCACATTACAAGTTTCATTTGCCGCATCTTAACGCATCAAGCATTGGAAATCACGTACGAGAAAACATCGTGCTTTGACATGACAGTGGTTTCTACGACTTTCTCTTTTAGAGGAAGCAGTGAATGAAGTGAAGCGACAAGCAGTCGCAGAACTGCAGAGGGCCGTTGCAGCTGCTGAAAGTAAAGCGTGCGAACTTGTCGCGACGGAACGAGCCAAGATGGAGAAATTGCTGCTGGAAGCACGAAAGCAGGCGGCTGAAGAAGCTCTGGCAGCAGTTGTTGTAGCAAATCAACAGCAGCAGCAAGCTGAAAGCAGTGAGGCGACAAACTCGCTTCCAGCCCCTTCTCAACAGAATGTAAGTTTTAAGTGATTCTAGAAACAACAGATTTCTAGTATCTAAAGTTTGATTAGTGGGGTCTGAGGCGTGGGCCTTGTGCCGCTTGGTCACAGGGACATGAGTTCGAATCCCACTCAAGCCATGGATGTTTTTCTGTGTTGTGCTGTCCTGTGTACAGGGAGAGGCCTTGTGACGGGCCGATCCCTCGTCCAAGGAGTCCTACCGAATGTCTATAGATCAAGCCAACTAAAAAAAAAGTTGGGGACCCGTAAAGGGTACTGGAAAATGTACAAACATTGTTAAACTGGAAGAAGAAGAAGAAGTTTGATTAGTTTTGCACTATACACTCTTAGAATGTGTCATGCATATATGACACATGCGAGATTTTTCTCTTGTAGATAAATATAGAGTAAGGGTGCTTGAAGAGAATGTTTAGATGCGTCCAACTACACGGAGCAGAGCCCCTCATGAGAAGCTCAGCTAGTCAAGAAATTCTCTTTTATGGAACCCAGAGTTTCATTATAACAATCACAGTAGCCTTTCCTCAGCCAGATGAATTCAGTCCATACTGTTCCACCCTATTTCTTGAAGATTCATTTTAATATTATACAAGTTTTGGAAGGTAAATGTTTTTCTATTTTGTGAAATGCTTACAGAATATTAGTTGGGAAGCCTAATGGGAAGAAAACTCTTGGAAGACCTAGGTGTAGATGTGAGGATAATATTAAAACAGCTCTTAGGAAAATAAGTTGTGAAGGTGTGGATTGGATTAATCTGACTCAGGATAGGGACCAGTGGTGGTCTGTTATGAACACAGTAATGAACCTTTAGGTTCCGTAAAAGATGGAGAATTTCTTGACTAGTTGAGCATACTATCAGGTTCTCAAAAAGGACTTCATTCGGTGGAATCGGTTAATTATACGACAAGAATATTTGGCATCGTTGCTCACGGAGTGGCACAGCCACCAAATATTCTCACTGTATGAACAGCTCAGTTATCTTTATGTAAAAATAATTTTCATCTGAGTTTGCTTCTTCTTCTTCTTCTTCCGTTTCTTGACTGTTACTTCAGTCTTCCGGTGCCTAATATTTTCTTCCATTCTTCTCTATTTTCCCATCCTTCCGGAGGTATTTTCCACTCTATCATGATTCTTGTAATTCCGTCGTTCCATCCTGGTCTCGGTTTCCCTCTCTTCCTTCTCTGTTTTGATTTCCATTTCATAGTCTTTTTGGTAACCTTTCCTCCTCCATCCTTTGAACGTGTCTGTACCAAATCAGTTTGCTTTGGAATTATTTTATCCTTGTATTCTGTTGTCTGTTGGTGAAACATCGCTACAACCTCATCAAACATCAAAAAAAAAACAGTGCTGCTCAAACCAGAAGCCACAACTTAGGTTTTACCTAAGTCATCAAAACTGATGTCATTAAACCATGGAAATGAGATGGGACACTGTTAGAAGTGAAGCCTGCAACTCTGTAATTTCCCAGAATAATGAATATTATTTCTATAAATCTAAAAATAATGATATCGTACATGTATCTGGAGATATAAAGATGCACCAATTTGTAGTGCAGATATAATTTGATTATTTACAGACTTGCTGGAACTGTGGTAGAAAAGCAAATGAAACTTGCAGCGGTTGTAACATGGCACGATATTGTGGAGCTTTCTGTCAACATAAAGATTGGGAGAATCATCACCAAGTATGTTGTGGCCGATCAACAAACCCGACTTCTGCGGCTGACAAGAATGCGCCTACGCGTTCAGCCAGTAGTTCACGTTCTGGAACACCTGTAACAGCGTCGTCTTCAACGAATGCGACAGTTGGAGCTGGCGAGGCTCGCGCCAAAAAGTGACGATCTGCCCGTCCCCGTCATCGACTTCAGCGTCAACGCATTTCAACTGGAAAATGCAAAAAATAAGGCTGTAGTTGCATTGGGTTACATGAAAATATGTATATGGCTGCATAATTTTTATGCATTTGAAGAAGCTGAACATATCTTGTGATTTACAATTCCTTCCGACAATAGCACGCGTTCCCCTGTCTGGCACGTAGGTTTAAACTCGGCACGAGGACATTCTTTACCGAAACAGACGGTCGGTATCAAAGCAGCAGTTTTAAGACGTGACTAGAACAGTCATTTGTCGTTAACATTTGAGTTTTATTTGAAGTGAACTCATGTTACTCCTATATTGTAGTGGTAAACTTTTATTCAGTGTTCTGGCTGAGAACAAATGCCATTAAATTCTTTTAGCCAAAATTGTGATGAAAAACACAGTTTAGTGAATTCTCACAATCATCGTGGCACAGTTTTTTTTTTTTTTGAAAATGCCGGTCTAAGAAGGTAAACTGGCCAGTGTTCGATAGGAAGTGAAAATATGACTGCATGAACTACTGACAACATAGAAATGCAGGTGTAATATTTATGACAGCTACTGTCAGCTAGGAAAAGAATTTATCAGTATTACTATTAAACACTTTGCTTTGTATATTCAAGTTTCCCATGTTTATAAATTGAGTTATAGGAACTGGAAAGTATAAGAATCTTCAATCTGAGAGATGACCGAGATAGAAGCGTACTGTGTGAAGACTACAGATTATGTTATATTTTGGATTCAGTATGCAGCATTGCCTTCAGTGCAAGTCAGGCTAGTCAACATCCAAAGAGTATGGATGTATATTTAAACAACATTGTTTTCTGTTATGACTGTTAACGTATTCAGTGTTTCTCTTTTATGAGCTCTGAACAATTTTTCCAGCAGTGTGTTGCCAAAGATTTAACGGAATATATCGAGTGAGGTGCTGATTATTCTAGTCACATTTGTAAATGTTCTGATTTACTGTTTTGTAATTTGCATTAATGTGCATGCATTTGTTATTGGTCCATCAGAATGTCTATAATGCAGTTTTTTCTTCTTTTTTAAGTTTGAATATTTGTGACTGATTTGTTTGATGGACGATTGTTTTCATCAGTCGGCTCCCTGTGTTTGTTTGAAGTCACCTTGGCCCTTTAAAGAAAAAAGAAAATATTACTTGGCCTTGAACTGAAAAAGTAAATAGTGAAAGATGACTGTCAACGTAACCTTCACATCCCAAGTGTGTTTGGTATTTAAAGCACAATCTCACCATAATGTGTACTAACTTTAAAAGTATCACTTGCTCAATGCTCGCTAATCACAATTTGTTATTTGTGTATAAAATTAGAATTTATGTGTTCTTGGTATCTTGTTAGGCCCCTTTTAGATATGAATTTCATTAAATTCATCAGAAGAATCACTCATGTTTCTGTGGAATGAGCATTTTCAAATAAACAATCATTGTCTTTTTTTCCTCTCAATGCAACCAGCAGTTAATGTATCCGGCATTTCTGATGAATGAGGATTTATTCGCTATCATCTCTGAAGATGTGGTTGACTGCTCCATTTAAAAAGCTGTACCACATCTTCCAAGACATTGGAGATTTTCTGCCATTTAGTGGGATCTGAGGTTCTTATGACAGTGAGTACAAAGACGGCTGTCTTCTGGATTGTAGCTGCCTCCATCGTCAGGTGATCACAACAACCTATAAAACGTTGGTAAACTTTTGCCAGATTAATGCTACAACGCAGAAGACGGCCATCTTTGCTGCCATTTAAATGTAGCTGCAATGGCAGGCAGGATACCATTTAAATACACCTATAAGGGGTTAAAATGGATGTTGATACAGGTAGTTGTTTGACGTTGCAATTCAGAGTCACTACATGATTGTTTAAAGAAAATATAATGTAGCTGTATCTTAAAGCAAATATGACATTTATTTGGTTTTGTGTTTTCTGTTGCATACATTTCCAGAAACTGTATCTTTGTCTTAGACTATACAAGTTTCACTTTTAAATATGAAACGACGGTTTTACAGAGGAATGTTTGAATGGGAATGATTAAGCCTATTAAGAGATGAAACATTGCTGTTAAAGCAAACATGAAGAGTTGCCCAAAGTAAAATTCTCCCAGTAGTTCAAGAATTGCATTCATTTTTATTTCATTTAATTTCCAGTCTAATAGCAGCCTGATAATGCCACAAAAACTGAAAGTAGCAGCTAGTGACCATTTACCTGAAAACCAATATCTGAAAACTCAGTTTCTTGCCGAGGTGTTTAAATTTTTTTATAATTAATAGGAACAGATAGTTTTAATTTAAATTTGTACGTGTTTCCGATTTCAAATATGGTATATATAATACCGTACGTGTTCTATTGTGACTCAAATAATAGCCCAGGCTAGTGGTGCATACAATATTTATAGTAGATGACCGTGGACTCTCCAGTCACATACATTCCACTTAGCATTTTTTTTAAGAAATCAATCGTCATCAATTCCTGCCTCTGAGATACTCATTAAACAATCACATTACGCTGCTTTGTTATTGTCTCTTCACTGAACAAAACAAGTGGAGACTAGTTTTTGCTGTTGTGTTTCAGAAGAACGGAACCTCGTTTTATTGGGAGGTGCATGTTTAAAGTCTCTCATCTGTTTTTTTGTGAAATTTGTCAGTTTTGCATCCAATTCACCGTTTCAGAGTGTATCACCACATTTCTCTCTACCAGAGAATCATATAAATGCATGAAAGGAATGGTTAATTTAAGAAGTGAAATAAACATATTTTTAACAACCTTTATCAGCCATGTGTCAGTGCTTACATGTGTGTCCAGTCAGCCGTGTGTCGCGGTAACACCCGAGAGGCATTACTTTGGGGGAGTCCAGGCACAAAGAGGGAGCAGAAATATCATATTTCACTCACACTTTACCACATACACAATTTAAATTATTCAGAATTTATTCTTATCAAGTAAATATCAGTAACACAACAGATGCATTGGAGACCAATCATAATATTTATATCAGTAATTAATATTAAAATTTTAACAAAATTTAGCTTGACTTATGCTCATATGAAATTCTTAGCATATGTATGTTACTTTGTAAAGGAACAATATTTAACATACTATTAAATTGCCACATTTGAAATAACAAAATAATACAAAAATGGTCTTCCATGTTTTGAAAATGTTATGAAATCAGATCACATTTCAACTTGATTTCCCTGAATCTCCAATAATATCGGCAAACAGCTTCTTCTTGCGGAATTCCTTTCCTTGCAAATCTCTCCACTCATTCTCTTGATGCTTATAAAGTGGCAGGTAGTACTTGCTTGCGAGAATGCTGCCATACTGGTTACTATTCATGATTGGTTCTTTAGCAGAAAGTTCATCCATGATTAGAATTTTCTGTTTCAGGTTTGCTACATCCCAGATTGCATCCAAACTGCGTGATCCATGTTTTGTGCAAGCCAGTGCCACATACAGTCCCTGGTAAGAGAGAGTGAGAAAAAAAAATTAGTTGTGTACTGTATACTGTTTATATACTACAGTTCAGGGGTGCTCAACCTGTTCCAGATCTCGAATCTGGTACTTTAGTGCCTCAGAAACGTACAATTAACTTAACAGAGGGTCATATCTTTTATTTTAAAAATGCAAAATTACAGTTTCATTCAAAGTAATAATGTGGAAAGGGAGATCCCAAAAGAAAACAATTTATAAAGTATATTTTAACCTTTATTGGCAGTGTATCATGGCTTATGCTTGGTCCAGCTTGCCATGTGTTGTAGCATTCTTAACAATGGAGTTTAACAAAACTAACATAAGTTGTGTAGAACATAAGTTTGTGGACAAAAAGATTTATTCAGTTTGGACTTTCATTAAAATGTGTTTATCAATTCATATTCACAATTTTTTGTGCCCCCCAGTACAGACAAAGAAATAATAAACCAGCTCCTTGGACTCACCTGTAGTTTATTAATCATTCTATCTCTACTTTTTTCACCAACATATTCACTCTTCATAAATGCATCCATTACATGACTTCCTTTTGGGTCAGTCAACACTGTTTTAAGATCACCAATGTTCATATCCAAAAGACTATTTATAACCTGAATTGGTTTGTTAAAGTTGAGCAGTGTCTGAAGTATTAATGACCCATTCAAGTGAATGTACAACTCCTTAGAATTAGCTTGCTCTTCATAGGTGACAAGATTTAATGCAAGTGGAGACAGGAATATCTGTCTCTCTTTAGGTTCTATGCAATGCAATGCTTTCATTAGCATTTTCTGAAAGTTTCCTTGTTTAGTTGAAAGCCGTTTGCAAGCCTGAGCAAGACTTAGAATCACTCCAGTATTATGACTTTTCAAAATTTCTTCAAGATGTTCTTCTAGTTCGCCATATATTGCTTCAAATTCACCCTTTTCGGTACAACAATCTAGTAGCTTCTGCACTGAAAAATTAGCAACAGGATGTTGTGACAGAGTTGCCAAATGGTTTATAAAACACTTTGCATATATCTGAGTGTACCTCTTGGGTGATGCATTGGTTATTGTTGCTTCTAAAAGACGCACAGCTGACACATCTTCAAACACAGACAATATGGTGTGTTTATCTGGGGTGTTTGATTTATGTTCACTGTTGTCTATTTGATCTTCTTCCTTCCGAAGTGTAAAACATTCATCCAGTAATTTTAAAATAAGTTTCTCGGTAAGTTCATGGTCAGTTTTCTTCAATACAGAAAGTAACGTCTGCAGTAACCCTGATGTTAAATGAGCGAAAGGCAGATCTGAAATGAAATGTGTGACACTAGAAAATGACAGGTTCATGTTAATTTTGAATAAGGCTAAAACTACCTCAAATTTCTGATAAAAACCTAGGACATGAAAGGTATCCCAGGATCAAGTTGTAGTTTTTTACTAACATAGAACTTGTAAATAATGGCTGAGACTTGAACAAAATCAAAATATTTTGAAGTGCAAGTATTTATTCACATATTTTATATACATCTTATTGCAGTGTGTTCAGTAGTCTGACAGAATGATATTTTGTGGAACAACTGTCCTTTATGTGCAGAAACTTGCTTTCCTAATCACCGTAAAGCTCAGAACTAACTTCTGTCCTTTAAATAAACTCCTCCTCCTTTGTTCCTGTTCAACTCTGAATAACATTTCTTGTTTGTCATGATTCCATATGAGCCATGAGCTATCTACATGTACAAAGACATAAATGAACAGCATGCCAAAATTAGATTCCTCTGGCCTCACTTCCTAGTGGGAAAGTCACAGGAGCAGCCAGTCTAAGTATGTATTAAAAAACAGGCACTCCATTAAATTAAAAAATAAATTAAAATATTTGTTTTAATATCTTAAACATCTCAATAAATGCTATGATTTAAATAATACCATGGTCAATTATTAAAATATCTATGACATTATTACTGTTGTTAAGTGTATATAATGTCACTGTTATGAAGTTACTACTAACCTTGAAACTGTGGCCAAGCAGACAACCGATGTACTAATTCTCTTAGCAGTTCTGTATATTCAGAAGGAACTTTAATGAATGCTATTGATGGTTTAGTTGTCTTTATGTTGGGTTTAATATGTATCTTGTAGTTTTCACCTGTTGTTCTGGACAAAACTCCTCCAAGACACTCAATAACTGTTCGAATTACGTGATTGGCATATGTATCCCAGACAAAGTCCTCCAAATTATTTAGTACAAACTTGCTAACTTTTATAACCCAATTTGTGAAGTCTGCTTCTTCTGACTGTGTGTCTGAAATCTAATATTCACATCCATTAAGCATTAAATAAACTGTCAAAGAAAGTTAGTTTGAAAATACAAACTATTTGTTAGTACATACTTACCAGTCCTCTCTGTAATACAGTTAATAACAGTGTCTCTAATACATGACTTCCATATGGATCAGAGCAGATGGGCCGTAAATTTTCTCCAAATGCTTCCATGAACCTCCTTAAAACTGTATCACTAGCTGCAGGCAGCAGTTTATCAAGTGCTGTAGAAGTAAGCTGATTACATGAATAATTCACCTCTTCATTAATTGTTTCATCGAACACATTATTGGTGAAAATAGCTGAAACAAATAGAACGTTCTATTTACAGTTTTAATATATCATCATAATAATTATGGTCACACGAAACAAATTCAAATCTGTTGCAATTTAAACAACCCAAAAAAATTAAGGCACAGCTTTTTGACTAGGAGAAACTAGGAATACCGTGCCAGTTAAAAGTAAGTAAACTTCCTCATTCTGCAGTCATTAAACAAACAATCTGGTGTAACAATAAACAGTTGTAAAATCATGCACGTATAACTTAGTCATAACATTTTGTACTTTAAATCTGCAAAACTTTAATTACAGAACAGGGGCAGCCCTACGGCCACAAGAATAAAGGCAATATAAATACAATAAGTTTGGTTAGTTTGGTTATACACGTTCGGTACCTTTCTCCTCCTCAGTTTCAAAGCTATCTGTTTGAAGAAGTTGTAACACACGGACAAAATATTGATATATGTCTTCGTTTAGGTGACTTCCTCTTCCGAATTTTCCTTGTTTACCATATTTTTTTGCATTCCTAAGAAACGACTTCCTCTTTCTCTTCTTTCCACGATGTTGAGACTCCATTTTTCTTATCTAAAATTATCTATGTTGCCGTGCAATTGACTGTATCACAGGCGCGATCTGATGTGTATTGCAGGAGTTTAAGAAATGTCGCTAGAAAATCATCACGGAAGCCGTGACTAGTACTCAACGCTATCTGGTGGAAGACAGTAAAGCAAGAAGTAACATGGCGTGTGTTTACGATGTTACGTCGGAAAGGTAATATTCTTAAATATCCCGTTAGAAATAACAATATTTTTGTAGGAAGCTTGTAGTGTGAATAATAACATTGAGTTTTATTGGAGCGACGTATAATTGCATCGGTCCTTTATGTCAATCGTAAACATTAATTTCTTTAATGAAACTAGCCAACATCTGTGAGAAATTACGGATATTCATTAGGCTCTGAAATGCGTGATGTATCGTATCGTATGTACTTGTTTTGCATGACGATGACAAACTACTATCTGAACATATTCGTATAGTCGATACGTTACACCGGCTCCGCTGCTGACGTATCCAACGCTAGCCAATAAATGAGGTCGGGATCTTCATAAGGAAGACATTCCAGTGATATCGATTTTCTGCTAATTGTTTTGGAGTATCGGCTGTCAATGATTTGTATGTGCCACCTGTTTTTTTCTGAATTGACCATAGAGCTATTGTGGATAGTTATAATTGTTGGGCTGTGTATCTGTAATACATATAGTCTGTGACCGTTATTTGGTTTATCAAATCTTTCAGATATGTACGTTGGTAAAAGTGGTGTATATTTCCTGTTGGTGTATCCCCTCCCCATTCACGTTGTGATGTTCAGTTGTCTAATCGTATTCTTCTCGCTGTGAATGTTGGTTTGGTCGTCTGCTGTTCATTTTCATTCTGTGCGAAGTGTGAATTTACGAATTCTTTAAATAGTTGTATCGAAGAAGAAGCGTTAACGATTGAATGCTCGTTCATATGGTTATCACCATTTAGTGCTGCGATTTCTCTGTTGAAGTTATAATAGAACTGACAGAAGGTGCCTATAATCGTACTCTCGTAAGTATTTCTGTTCCTGAAACTAACGATTGTTGCGATTATAAGTATATGTATAATGTGTGCGATAGGTTTTCATGGAGTAATAACAGACTTTGTTTACCGTGTGTGTAGCTGTCGGTTCATACCTGAAGAAAAGAGACGTAGGCCTAGTATTGGGCTGCGACCACGTGTTTGGGTATTAGATTGTTTAACTTCCGCGACTTATATGTGATACGCAGAGCTTAATCTGTAGCTAACGCACACGTTAGAAATGTGCTGCTACGTCACTACATATGTTTAAATTTTTTACCTGTACCCAGAACCGTCCACACATGTTTAAAACTTTTGAACGTGTATTAAACATTAGAAGTGTAATATTTTCTTTGTGTTTATAGAATAGCTCTTAATTATGTGTCAGGTAACACATTGGGATAACTTAACAACAGGGTGATCTCTTGAGCCTTTTTTACTCACAAGATGTTTTGATGCAGATACATTATTTACTGACAGACGCTTGTGGTTGTAGGAGTAGAGTTAAATGGATGTTCTCGTTTTGTGTTTGCAGAAGGTGTTTCTCCAGCATATTCTAATTCTGTAAAAATATTAGATTCCGATGTGTTAGTTTACGGTATGTATAACTTAGGTTTTCGGGTGAGAACCGCGTCGAATGTTTGGTGTTTACCAACGTTTATGTTATATTATGTTCTAGTAATTGTAACTACAGTAAGAAGTTTGGCATTGGAAAACTGTGTGTGCTAAAGAGGTGCATGTTCACTGTTACGAATGTATGTTTTCCTCAAGTTTATCCCATAAGATACAAGGATACAATTCCCTTCTCAATCTGTTTTATTTCCTTGCGTTTACTATCTGAATGTGGTATTCAAATTACTGATGCAAAAATGTATTGGTCCAACTGTTGATTTAGCCGTTGTACTACTGTTAAGCGACTTGAAATTTGCTCCTTAGAACCTTTCGCCGGACATTTCTTTGAATGTTTCAATGAGCTGTAGTACACAAATTCCCCTCACCCTCGACGTACCCTGCTTTTAATAAGCCTGCAGAAGCCGTCGAGGAATAAGGGGTGAGTGTGGGTAGACTGCATGCCTGATTTTGGCAATATTTGTAAGTAGTTTTGGTATGTGTTGCACGCCTTGGGTTAATTCTACAAGTTTCAGAGCCAGAAGTTCATTGTGGTGCAGAATGCACCATTTTTGTTCAAAAGTAGTAGGCATAAATAGATCGACCATGCGTTAAAATCTGTATCGTGTTGTTAAAAAAGGAAGTTCGCAAGCTGTGGACAGCATTGTTTGTCTTTAATAATGAGGTCTGTTCAAATTTTATGTTTTACTGTTGATTTATTTTGTCAGGTGCACACGTCACCTGCGGTTGCTAAGAGACCACGTACGGCGTAATGCATAAGTGGCCTACGTCCATTACCGTTTCGTCACCAAGTGGATACCTACATTACTCAGAAAGTTATATAGGCTATTTGTATTGAAAAGCCGTTTCACCGCGTGTCACCACGGCGTTAAATTATGTAGAATGTGCGTTTTATGTTATCGTACTTAGTTTTTAGAGCATGAATCTGTAATACCCTACAAGTGTCTCGTTCTTTCGTATCTCCGTTACTTTACGCCTTCGCTGCCTGGTGGTTCCTATGATACCATATACGCACGTACGTTGTAGTGCTGTAAGTGACCACTGCCGAGAATAATAGAAAATATGTGTGATCTCACATTTCATTTTAGGGTGAGTTAAGAAGTAAGCCTAATGGTTTCTTTGAGATCCGTTGAGTCGTTTTGGAGGTTGAACGTGTGGACGGACAGTGTTATATTCCCAATCTGCATTATTTTCATGCACTCTGTACAAGGACACTGTTTCATGTTTTACTAAATTCAAAGTTGCGGTGTGGTATTTTTCTTAGTTTTTGCACTGACCACAAGCAAGGATGTGGTTAAGAGAATGGCGCAAGAAGTCACCGTTGTACTTGATAGCAAATACGTGAACTGCAGCTACTTATATTATTTCTTAAAAACATAATCTGTAGATGGATGATATTGGTTCACATATATTTAGCCAGCTAGTCAGCTTAGGCTCTCAGAGGGCTGTTACACCACGGATTTTATTTATATATATATAATTTCCTGTCTCATGGAATACACAGCGCGTCTCCATTACAAAGATCACTTCGTTGAAGCTGTTAGGGAAGTAATCGCTGTACTGAGAATTATGTGGAACGTCGAAGTACACTCTGTGGGCATAATTAAAGTTGCTGAATATTGAAGCAAGTGGTACATTAAAACCCAGTGGTAACTGTATGTAACACGTGCTTTTAACAATTTGTACCCCTGAATTTTACACGTGAAATGTATGCCAGTTTATATTTTCGATGATTTTTCAGAGAGTTGCCAATGTCTGTCACTCTTGTGCTGAAATAATTATAACTGTTGCCATGGTAATGCGGTTAAGGGATTTTCAGCTTTATGATTTCCATTACTGAATATAAAACGTTACCTCGTCTGGTTAACAACTGTGTTGGTAGATTAACATGCACAATTAAGATATTCTTATCTAAAATTTGAAAGCGTGAATTGTTCTTGCATCAGCGTAATCAAGGGTTTAGTGAGGTCAAGATTATTATAAAACTGTTATATACACTTAAGCAGCGTGCTTTATTTAGTTTTGTGGTTGCTAAAGGATCGTGGACTTTCAAAGGAGGACTTTGCACAGAGTCTCGCATTCTTAGTCACGAGTTTGTTAGGTTGTCGTCATATACGTATAATCCTTATTTCCCGTAATCGGGACCCATCCTGTTTACTGCCTGCAGATCATGACCTCGGCATCATCCACTGTGCTTTGCATTGATAAGGCAACACCATATAAACAGTTGGACTGGTGAAATTCATTACCATAAAGAAATGGAGTTTGTAGTTGATTACATAATCACAATTTAAATAGCCCTGTATTTGTCATTATGAATGAAGTGATGGAAAAGCTAGTCCCAACAAACCTGCCTGACGCTGATTCATAATCACTCAATGATATTTATATTATTGTGTTGTTGTTTTCCCCATTCGTGTTAAGTGTCCATCTTGTTTCAGTTTATTTCCCTAAGAAATAGTTTATGTCCTGGGGTTCAAGTAATATTTGACGACAAACTTTTGGGTCGGGCCAAATGGTCCTCTGGCCGGTGAAGTTCTCACATTTCGGCATACATCTACGCTTGTTTGTAATTCACCGTACACTCATCTCGTACAACGCTAAATAGCGTCTGCAGTTGATACGGTCATGAAAATCCTACGGAGCCAGCTTAATTGGAGTATAACGATTTATCTGGAAACAGCAGTTTACTTTTAGCATGTCTGTCATTTCAAAATAGCAAGCGCCTCCGCTCATACGTAGCCCCTTGAAAGTAGGCAACTTCTCTTGTAGATGTTTGTAGCGGCTATGCCTAGGTGCCCTTTGGAAGGCGTGTTCGACTCACAACCAGAATTTCGTACAAGAGATGTGGAAAATCTGTTGCGATGGGATTGAATATTGCAAAATGGACTGGCTGCTCCGGATTTGATAACTATTTACTACAGTAAGACAGCAGCTATATTTGTTTTATTCGCCTTTCAGTTTTTCTCGGGTTTACAAATATTTCAGAGCTCACCGTTTTGTCTTTTCCATTCCAACTATGTATTACAAGGCAGCATTAGAACAGGATGGAATCTTTTTGTTATGTTACGATACAACCGAATCGCTGTTTGATATATGCCTTAGAACAGCAACAAGTGGACGTCAAATATAGACCAACTAATACAAAGACTAGAGATACTTAGAATGTGTGTGAAAGCAAGACAAACGCCAGGGCCCTGGAGGTCGTCTGAAACAATTCCAAATAAACTCTTTCAATTTTAGACTCCGCTCGTCGTGATTCGTACACTGAACACAGTTTAGAGAAAGTAGACGTCATTACTTTTGCACGAAATGCCTTGTTGATCACAAAATAAGTGAGAACAAAATTCAGGACCAAGAATAGTCTAATGTAGGCTTATATTTCGGTTTGTAATTTTGAAAATATTAATAGTTACTAATACCCAGTTCAAAAATTAGAGCTAGTATAAGTTTTTGTATTTGTAGGCAGAAATGTTTGTTGTGACTGAGGTAACTCTAGTACGAAACGATTAATAGATTTTACTTTCATACATGCCACAAAACATGAACACTGGAGCGCAAAAGTTAATAATAATCTGGAATACGATCACATTCTGCTGTCTTATCTTCCGTTTTCTGTAACTCCATCGATCAGAGACACTCTTGAGGGGCTGATAGTCGCTCAGCTAGTCAAATTTATGGAACCCTTACATGAATAATAGTATTCTCTTACCCACGTCTATGTTTCCCACGCGATCTCTTCCCTTTTGCTTCTTCGACAAGAATTTCTTACAGAGTTGTCTTCCGTTTCATTTTCTTGAAGGCGTTTTGTTACAAATTGCATATTTCTGAATTAAAGATGGCTGTCTTCTGGGTTGTTGCAACAACCCAGAAGACGGTAATCTTCAGACTCTCAGCCGTGAAAACCTCAAATCCTTTCTCAATTAATTTTAAGATTTTAATGATACAGTATTGCCACAGGATTTCAATGTAATGTTTCATTTAATGAAGGTAAAATTATAAAGAATCTCTTCCTTCCCTTCTGGATGGCACTGAAATTTTGAAAATCGACTGTGAGCTGCCTTATTCAAACCGAATGACATCGACTAATAACATTTACTGAAACTCAGATTTTCGAAATAAATTATAAGTTTGTGAAAAGTAAGGCGATGACTAAACAAATGAATTTTTATGATAGGCCACACTTAATGAAAACTTCGTGATGTTTAATTTATAATTTTAATTTTGTAAATTTTTCAACAATGTAATTGGAATGCTGAATGGGCCTATGTTGAATGTAACTTAAAACCTTTTTAATAATATATTAGTTTCGTCTTAATTGTGACCATGTTTTGTAATTTTAATCATAGCAGATATTAAAATAATCTTATTGAAGTAACAAGTGTAAGAGGACCTTCACTGATTAGATATAACCAGTTTTGTAGAATACAAAGTTATGCTGATAATTTTGTTTGTTTACTTATCTAATGAAATATACGTGGAGAATGTGAGGTCTGTTTCCAAGTAAGCCTTGGCCTGTTCCCAAAATCCAAAGTTATGCATTGATCTCCAGCTGCGAATACGAAGGACAAGCAGGCTGTACCCATGTACCTCGTGACATAGACATCTTTTTGTAGACATTTTAGTTAGTATGATACGTTTTATAATGAACGTAACGATAGTATGATGATTAAATTAAATTTAACCAAGTCAGATAGTGAAACTTTAAGTATAACTGTGTAGCGTCTGAGACACTAGGCTTTGTTTAGTATTGATGCCAGAATATTAAAAATCGGAATGTATAAGAATTCGCAAAACCGTGTTTTATATTTTGTTTCCATTTGCAGAACGTCAAACTGAGAGACGCTGATTGTGTAATGAATAGTGTTATGGACGACATTGAAGACTCACAGTAATACACATCCCTAGGGCGGAAATCGAGCAATTTTGGTTTTTCCTAGGCATGCCTTAAACCTCACAGTCACTTGGACCGACTGCGAAAACAAAAATGTGGCTTTATTTTGAACAAAACTGAATTTCTGAACGAGATTTTTATATTTATCGTGCCAGCTATAGGTTTAAAGTTACTCTGAAGTCCATTGATATATGTCTAGAATATATACCGTGTTTACATTTATAAACTCAGAATTTGTGGTTATAAGTTTAAAAAATAACCAAGGTCTTTGTCTAATGACCTGTGAGTTTGTACACGTGCCTTTTATCACAGTTTATATAAGGCCTGTTCAATGTAATATCGATTATCTTCCACGCCATAAAGGAAGACTGTGTAATGACGAGAAGGGAATTTTCCACGAGCAAGTGACCTTGATGTCTGACACTAATATCTAAAGGATTTTTAAAAAAACAGTGATTACAAACATTACACTTTGACCTTAGAGCGAAGAAGTAGGAGGTACATGAATAAAACTGCAAAAAAAGGGGGGCCCTTAAAATTTGTACTCTTTGCCAAAGAAACAATTTAGGAAATTTACTCATAGCATATCAGTTCTGGTGGGTCCGATTCTGTCCACTATGACCCCTGTTTTAAATTTTTCAAAAAACGACTTAGGCCTATTGAGAAAAAATCTATACTAACGTTTTAAGATGTATATCTTTTAGGCGTTTTCTGACATGGTATATATATTACGCAGTACAAGTATAAATTTCTGTCAGAGTACCGATAGTATACAACTGATGATTACTTCTATAAGCAAATGATATTTCGTCTGAAAAGACTATCGTAACCAGTGAAGTGTGCGAAATTCTCAATTGAAATCTTCGGACTCACCACCGTGTGAAGATCGTATCCTGAACATCGAATATTTTTTACAAAACGTCGAAAACGCTTGTAACGTGTAATTGCGTAACATTGCTACTACAAGACGAGTGTATTTGGCAGGCATCTAGAGAGAGCGGGTCTCTATGTCTCTTTCCTACTCTAATGACATGTCATTTTCGTTTGTACGCGAAATAAAACAATCCTGTAAGGACGTCAAGAAAATTATAGAGTAGGTGCTTCTGTGCGTGTGTAAGTTTCTCAAAATAAGAAGTAAGTGTGGGTAAGTACGCAGCAGGCTGTATCACGAATAGTAGCCCCAGACTCTACATTCTGCATGGAAATATACACGTGTTTACATCACGATTTAAGATTTAATTATATCAAACTCACTTTGCAGTTTATTGCGGTGTGTTTTGCGGGCGGGGGGGAGATACTCATCTCATGTTCTCTACTATTTTGCTTTCTCTCCTTTAACTTTTACATCGACGCAAAGAATATTTATTTCTGAAATTTAAAAATCGTCATTAAAGACTTTAAAAAAAAACAAATCATTTCCTGCATTTGAAATTTATGCTTTATGTAAACACCTAAATTGCATATCCGTGACTTTGATGTAAGTTCCGTGTGTTTATGCATAATCCAGCTCATTATTATTTCTGAGTCTGAATACCCATGATTCTGCCGTGGTTAGGAATGCAGCGCGTACCTCACTGTTTGCGATAAATTGCGATACGCGGCATAGCGCGTTATTGACTTTCATGTACATACGAATGACATTGCTGTACCAAGAGTTCCATATTATACTACTCAACAGATGTGCGGTACAGCACTGTAAATATGCTAAGCCTGTGTGGTGTAGAAGCATCACAGGGGAATACGTCACCTTTGTTTCTTACACCACCCATCGTGTGAATACGTTACAAAGGAATGCTACTCATCCTCTTACAAAACTGATTTGAAACTCTGGACATCCAAGTAATGTATTTTGTAGCTCGCTGTCTTATTTCGTATGTCAGTGTCTTAGGATTACATATTATATGCGTTTACATTCTTTTTGCCCTCAAGCTACTGACGTAGGCGAAATGCACTGTTTGGTCCCCGCTACTGTACCAGAAGACCAACATGGACGTCTTCACTGGCATCGCAAGCCTTATGCCATTATCGGACATCGCAGAAATTAGAGAAACTAACACACAGCACCGAATAGGAATGTCTCTTGAACAGTAAATTACGCTGTTAACAACTGGCAAAGTCTGAATCATATTCCATAATTAATCTCATTCAGATTATTCTCTAATTCATATGTCTTCCCGTAATTGTCGTTCATTGGCAAAATAGATTTTAATCTATATTAATAGTTATATAACATCAATAAATGAATCTGAAAGACAATGAGTTATTCATAATCGCAAATAACACTTGTTATGCATTGCGGAACTATGCATAAGCATCAGTTAGCTTTGCAGTGTGCTATTGTGTACACTGTAATGAACTGTCGGGTTCGATAGTAGACGGGGAATTTCTTGATTCTATATAATCTCGCTTTGTATAAAATAATGCCGATGAATATGTTGCCAAATCTCACATCATATATTAATACAAATTTATGTGTTTTGTAATCTTAACCCCGCATAATCAAGGTCTTGATGGATTATGTTTTAATGACCTTGATTATGTCGAGTTAAGGATACAAAACATAAATTTTGTGTGACATTGACGATTAATGAAATAACATTGTTGGAGAACAGGATGCTGACGCGTGATATATAGGCCAACAAATCTTGTCCGTGTGGTTGAACTTCGTAACCACTAGGCCTAAGTAAATGTACTTGTAAACTTCGTCCGCCGTCTAAATTATAAAATCACGATTTTTCGAAAGCGGTTTTCTGCTTCCACCGTCAGGTAAGAGAAATAGGACAGGAGACCTGTTGGGTCCATCCATTTCTGAGGTTAGCTCAAGTATTTGGTCTAACAGAGGGGTGTTCTGTCCTAAAGATGGCTGTCTTCTGGCTTATTGTCCCGTGCAGTCTGGTAGAAGTTTACCGACGTTTCAGATGTCCTTGCTGCCTCCATCATCAGAGCGATCCGGGGTTTAGTTATTTCGCAGATAAAACTGATTTTCTGTTACAGGTGCAGTCGTTGCCCATCCACGCGACGATCACATTCTGCCTGGAAGCAAGTTTCGCCCGAAATCGTTGTTTTATATCAGATTGGACCGGAACATACATCAATCAAACTGGCGGAGGGCGAATCACCGCTCAAATAACCCACTAATTTGGTGAGTGGAAATATTTGTTTTATTAATTTCCATTTTGTAAACTGAGAACATGACAGTTCATTACCAGCGCATGAAGATTGTCCTATAATCTTTTTTTCTCGTCGTTCTGGATTTTTATAGCAGGAAGGCAACTTAAACAGTGTGAAACGTAAGGTTCTCGCCGTGGTGAAGACGATATACCAACGTTTCGGAGAAATATAATATCCATTTTTAGGCCTGAAGATGGAGACAGCATGTTTCTCACAAATGCTGGTATCTATCTACATGTCTACACGGCGTCACTGCCCACAAAAACAAGAGAATTAAAATTGTAGTTCCAGCTCGAGTATGAGATCATTTCTTTCCCTTCTACACTCAAGCTACTGATGCATGCGAAGTGCACGGTTTTGTCCCGAATCACATACCTGTCTTGATAATATCACATGGGGTAAATAACTGGGCGTTCTCCTCCCCAGATATTCAAACTAGTGACAAGTCTCGACTTTGGCCCAGTTTACTG